AGTAAATCCAATTGCACACTTTATCTGTGAGCAAATTCCATTGAACTCAATAGGGCTTATTTCTGAGTAAACCTGGGAAGGATTCTACTGTGCCTGATCCTGTCTACTCATGGAAGCTAAGCAGAGTCAAGCCTGGTCAGAATCTGGATGGGAGACTTGAGTCCTCCATTGAGCAGGGGGTTGGACCTGTTGTGCCTTCCGGGCCTCTTCCAACTGTATGATTTTATGATCCTGGATTCGTCATACTTTAATAATGAAGAGGCAGCAAAAATTACAAGAATCTGTTGGAAAGGAGGTAGAAGCTCATGTAATCAGGACTTGAGTGAAAAGCAGAGACCAAAATGGGAAAGCTCTCTGTTCTAAATAAGCTAAAGCTTAGACTTTAAAAAGAAAATAAAACTGGCAAGGCCACACTTCTGCTCATAATACTGTAGGTAGGGCAATACTGCTATGTCTAAACTGGCCTGAAGAGAAGGCTTACAAAGTATGTATGTTCAGTCAGGTCTGGAAGTATCTCTGAACATGGTCAGGGGTTGCAGAATTCCCTTATTTCAAAAGGTATGGACTAAGCAGTTAGTTTCCAGTGCCTCAAACCCTAGCATAATCTTGGAAGAGGGATTCTGCAAATGAGATGCATTGAAAGGTCTTATTTACATCTATGCTGGACCTGAAGTCAGATTCTGAGAAATGCGTCATATCAACATTATAAAAATAACTAAATTGGACCTGCATATCATGAACAAATTCTTATAGCAAATCCAAAGTCAAAAAGGGAAAGAAATGGTAGATTATTTAGGGGAAAAGAGCGGCCAGCAGAACCTAAACCTCTTGAGCTGGAATAAGTAATTTACATGCATAAATTGCCTTGAATGAAATGGCTCTTTGTCAGCAATTCCTTTATTTTTACCTAAAAATTTACTAATGAAAGTAAATTCATGAGTTTTCCAGTGCATTTTTTACTTAATGAACGTTTTCCCTCAAAATCTGTTAAAGTTGAGGTTATTTAAAACAACAACAACAACAACCAGACATTGGTGAATTTTGCACACCTCCTTCTATCATCCATCTTCATCTAGGATGTAGATTAAAATTAGATCCAGTGCTAAAGAATGTTGGGACTTGTAAGACTGTATTCTGTCTAAGCACACATAGGACTGTACCCTAAGTGCCTCTGTGAATCACTATGTTATATACATAAAAGATATACACAAAGGTAGAATGATCCTAATAACACTCTCCCACCTTGGATGTAGAAATGTACAAACCACACACCTCTAGTTACAAATGTAGGCTGACATAGGTGAAGGGACTCTGTCAGTTCCCTTTCAGGAGAATGATTAAAACCTACCCAGTCCTGGAAACATGCTCCTTTGGGCTCCAGTGTTTACTACAACAGGTAGGAAGGCCTGCTCACAGTAGCTTTCCACTGCCAAAGTTTTCCATAGGCACAGTGGGAACCTCTGCCATGGCAGCCCGCCCCGCACACACACACCAAGGAAGCAACAAGATTAACCTCCTCCAACAACACACATTGGAGGAGTAGCATTGCATTGCAGAAACCCACAGACACAAGAACAAATCTTACTGTATTATGAAAACCTAAGAACACCAACAAAGAAAACAACTATTTGCTTACTTCAGCACTCTAGCTAATGACTATGTTAACAAGGTCACCAAGATAAACTGGCATTGCCCATGCGGTAGTCAACTTTTTTTTTATGCTATGCATTTACCTGGAGATAGTGGCACAAGTTAAACATCCATCCTAAATCTGTATACTTTAGTACAACAAAAATGAACTACTGTTTCCTCCTTTGGATTAGCATTGAAGGCACTTTTTCTGAATTATACCATATGTTTCAGTATTCAGAAAATCATTACTGAAGACACTTCTTATTCCTTTTGCGATTAGAAGCCAATTAAAGTTGTGGTCACATAGGGAGAGATCTATAACCTTTGTTTGGAATAACATTGAAACGGAACTAAAATAATTATTGTGGATACCTGTCCGGATCCAAAGATTCAGAGAATCCAAGAACAGACATGCTCCAGTATGAAGATCAATCCTGCCATATTACTGATTTGCATGGTTAGCTTTGCCTGCACTAACTGATGTTGGGTGCAAAGAGGGGTTGTGGATTGCCTGGCTTAAAATAGAGACCATCACGGCCAAAGACAGCTGCATCAGTCTACACGCCACACTCAGCGTATCAGTCAACATGAATTCCAAGGCCCCATGAAACAGTCTTCTTTACCTGCACAAGCTGATCCTACACCTTTATGTGGAGGCCCGAATGGAAAAGAACTAATCATGTATTATGCTTAATGGAACTGAAATTATTCCAGGAAACTTACAGGACAGAAACAGAATTATTCATCAATTTTGCACTGTGAACAAAAGAGATCCTGATCTAAAACGCATTATGAGTGTAATACCCACATGCAGCTCTGTGTAAACAAGGGCTCTCTCATTTTTTTCAGAAAAAATAAGGCCATGTTTCCACATGGAAGACAATGGTGCTTCCCCTGTCTGCATGCGACACTTCGTGAACTTTTCAACCAGAATAACAATACCAAAGGACTGATCAGTCCATACACAGAATGGTATAGTTTGTGGGATGCAAATCTATGCACAATCCTAAAAAGCCCGAAGCACAGCATCGTGTCTATTGCGATTTTTTTTTAAAGAATTGGAAGTTCAACTATAGCCTCACATGCATGCCTTTTTTGAGATGTGACAAACTAAATTTAAAATAATTACCCCATTGTACTGTGCATCTATCTCTCACTTTCCATAAAATTAAAAGCTAATCATTGTTGATTGTTTAGCCACTACTCCTTTACTTTAAGTGCCCCCAAGCCTTTAGAGTGCTGTGCAAAGACAGTCCGTAGTACAAGTGCTGCCTCTCCCATGATACGTGAAGCTTTCAAGAATTCCTTTTAGACTCTGAAAAAATCCTCCTGGCCTTTCATAAACAGTTGCTGTCAAGGAATGAAGATTAAAATGACTTGAATCAAGTGCAAGGGCAAAATAGCAAATAAAACTCTTTAAAGTGAACCAGGAAAACCCTCTTCCAAGCCTTCTCTCATGGCAGTGGTCCCATCTGCTGTAAGCAAACTACTAATGTAAGCTTAAAGAAATGAAAATGGATAGTCTTCTCTGCAATGATTAGTATTCTACAGTTCAGATCATATTATTCAAAGTCTACCAAAGTCATCTTAATTGGAAATGTGTCATTGTGACAGTGGCACCAACTGGCTTCCATTGTCATAGATGAACTCATTCTGTACAAAGAAAATCTAGTCCTGTCAGTTGGTTGCTGTCCAATTAAAAGTTCCTAACAGTAAATATTATCCACTGTTCTCCTGAAGTAGTTGCCTCTGTCGTAGTCGAAATCCTGGCAGGTGAGTCATTCCAATCCAGTCACCACGTCCCATGCATTTTGGTCCCATCCCATTGATGTCTGGACCAAGCTATAGTTTTTAAATACATGGTGGCTGGCTTCACACAACA